AAGGGAAGCACTTAAAAAAATGTTTATTCTTTTTCAGTCAATTATTCACGTTGTGTAATTAAACAACGTTCATCTGAATTTGAACACAGGGTTGAGAAAGTGTAATATTTTTATCATTAAATTTCAAATATCTGCACACAATACGAATTAATTATGGAACTATATTTTAAAAACAGTGCGTCACATGTACACTGATGGCCATGATGAAATCAAATGGTGCCCAAAATTAAGGTCCCAAACAAAGAAAATTTTACCGAAAATTCGGTTGAATCCATGGAAATTTGGTATGCTAATAGAAGCAAATAGACATCGCGGACAACAGTGGGGATGCGTTTTGGCTGTCATTTGTACAGACTTGAACCTTTTGTTCTTAGTTTGTTTGCTGTACTAAGGATAGAGTATTGGTTCTCTTCTGCTTTCTTGTGCTTTATTAGGAAAGTATTTCCTATTGCTATGGAATTTCCCTTTATCTCTTACCTTTCCTGGAGCTCTGTAACCACTGTGTGTGTTCTGATAGACCCTGTAGATCAGTGCTTCTCAAACTTTCACTACTGGTGACCCAATTTTCGATCATAATTTTTATCGCCCCCCCTAAAATAATAAGGTATTGAATGCAATAAAAATGCACTTTTTGGCGCTAAAGCTACAATACGATCATAATTATAAACCATACAAATTAACAAGATCAGTATTAAATTTTGTATATGTTACTTTTAAGTAATAAACTTTTTTTTTTTACTTTTTTGTTCGATTCACTATGAAAGCGTGTTTTTTAGTTTGTTTTAAAACATAATTTATTTTATAATTATTTTTAGTATACACGATAAAAATCACAATTCCAGAGAATAATTTAACTAAAAGAAATTATACCTACACTCAAGGACATTATTTGATCATTTCAGAAAAAATCCAATAAAACTAAAGAAAATGTTCCAAATGTGCGTTTGCTTAATAAAGGAAATAAATCAGGGACACTTTTCGCTAACAATACAGAAACGTTATTTTCCAGCAAAACTGTCATATATTGTTCCTGTTTTTGTAGTTTTGCTGTCGATTGATGATCTACAAATAGCATTTTGAACTTTTTCTTCCTTGTGTCTTTTTGACAAGGCGAAGTGTTACCTTTTGGCTTCATAGTTTTCATCATAGAGATCTTTAGGCAGCATTTGAAAATTTCAAATCAACTCAAACGTTTCATGTCTAACGCTTTTCTCAGATTTACTTTCGCTATCTTGAATAATATGCATTATTTCAGCAGGTTCTTCAATTGCTTAATCAGTTTCAACTTTCTTCAATAGGGAACTCTGATGCCCATTTTTTTATATTCTGCTCATTTAAATTTATAAACCATAATAAGTCATACAACACAGCAATCAAAACCACAAAATTGTTCATGGGGAAAGTGTAGCATGTTCTAAAATAATTTTGTAAAACGTTTTTCATTATCCATTATACGATTAAGAATACACAGAAAAATACATCTTGGCCAAATCATCCTTCAAAGTGCTCAAGATGCTTATCCATATATCAAATATATCATAATATGCTTATCCATATGCTCATCCATATATCATTAACATGGGGTGGGGGAAGCAACAGAAAAATATTATTTACAACTGTCCTATAAAAGAAACAAAGACGGAGTGAAACATACCAGTAAGTTTGAAAGTCAAATATATGATAATCAAAAGTAGTATCTTAGGGGTTAAAAGAAACGTAATAAAGAAATCTTTCATCGTGGGATTACAGCAAAGCAAACAAAATGTCTTTTTTTTATTTGGTTATAGGATAAAAAATAGATAATGAGCTTTTGAACTGGAATCTTTTTTTTATGATCACCAGAGATGATATAGATAAATTATATCAGTGTAAATGTTTATTTTTTATTATATCAGAAAGCATTTTGTTTTACTTGAATCCAAAAAATTATTTTTTTAAACCTTTTATTTTCAATATGCTCGTGCCCCCTCACAGGGTTACCGCGCCACCCCAGGGGGGCGCGCCCCACAGTTTGAGGAACACTGCTGTAGATTGTAAAGTATTATGTAAGTAAATATGTAACAAATGTTTATAAGGATTATTGCATAAATTAAAAGCCAAAAAGTTAAAGTTACCACCTGTTTAAATTTGAGCCACACTATCGTAGACCCTTATTTAGACCTCATGTACCCCTAATTTTATTTTGCACTGTCAAGGACTCCTTTCAAATCGTCTTCGACCCTTAGTAATTTATAGAAACCACTTTGGGAATCAAAGGCTGAAACGATTCTGTGAAGTCGTTTTAACTGCTTTTGGTACGGTTGGTGTTGTTTTCTTTAAGAAAAACAATTCCGTGCTCAAATTGGGTAGTTTCAGAAAGCTTCCACTTTTCAACAAATTTTATTTCCGTATTTTTTTTTTAAATATGACCCTCTTTACTATTGAACTGACGCAAGAGAGAGAGAGAGAGACAAACTTAATTCTGTTCCTAAATTACAACATGTAACCTCACTTTTGAAAATAGCAATCATAGATTCTATATCGGGGGGGGACGAACCTTTATGGATCAACGTGCCAATTTTTCTAAAGAGAAGTCAAATGATTTTGACTTGTGATGATTGGGAAAAGAATAGAGAGAGAATTCAATACTAACAATTTAAAAGTCTTTATTTACCACGAAAAATACATTTTGCACTATAGAGTTGAAAATATCTTAGTTCTACGTGCATAATTCAAATTAAAATAACATTAGTGTGATTTCTTTTGCTGCAGATTTTGTGGATGACAAATAACTTCTATTAGGATTGTAAGATGCTACTTTTAGTAGAATGCATGCTGAATTGGAGTCCTCTGCCGAAGGTTTTCTAAGCAATTCATTATTTGTGCTGTGGTTCACTTTTTCGACAAGAGGATCTGTGATTTGTACTGACGATGTTCTGCATTCCACTGTTCAAAACATAAAACACGCACCGCTTTGTCGCCCTTATTAATGATGTCATATTCCTTGATTCCTCAAGTTTGAGATTCTCTGTTCCACTTATTATTGTGCTCTTTTTGTTCTGAACTAGCCACGTTGAAATGGTAAATGTTACACAAATAAACTTTAAAATACAGTTGTGTCAACGAAATTGACTCTGCTATGCGTAGACACATTTTGCATGCAAAGCAACTGTAAGGAAAGACAAGTGCAAGCAAATGTGCTCCCCGCGACCAATCACTCGCGTTTGTTCATAATACTTTTAATTATTTTGTTTGAAATAAAATGCAAACTATTTTGATTGCCCGCTTACCCAAAACATTGTGTCGCGTGCCATTAATGGCACGCGAACCACTGGTTTGCCATCCCTTTTCTATACATTACAAAACGTGTTACGTGTATTACGTGTTTGAAACTTTAATTTTGGCCACTCATGAGGTTGGAAACTTAATATTAAAGCACACACATACAATTTCTGTTGTAAATCCTTATTCATAGTTTTAAATATGTTCAAAGAGGGATTTTAAATAATTCATAAAGAAAAAAGAAGAGAGAGAAACAGGTACAACGAGTTTTTTTTCATACAAACCTACATTTAGAGTTGACTTTTAATTAAAAATATTTACCTACTTTTCAATAAAAAAATTTTAAAAAATATTTCCCTAGCGTTTGGTTAAAAAGTATTTTTTAGAATAGCTACCTACCCATTCAGTGAGAAAAAGTTGACAGGACTCATAAAAGGAATCTTTATAAAATTACCTTGTTTGCTTTCTTTTTTTTCAATTCCTACTTCAGTTCTCTATCCACTATATCTCATCTTACCTACTATAAACTTTATATATATATATATATATATATATATATATATATATATATATATATATATATATATATATATATATATATAAAGAGTGTTTTTTTCCAGGTATAGAAGTTTAAGTTGGCATTACTTTCCAAGATGGCGACCGATTTAACAGCTGTCAAGTGATTTATTCTCAGTTTGGTTTGGCAATTCATCATGAATAGACTCACGCCTGAACAACGCTTTTAGATTCAACGAATGGGCCCAAAACGAGATTGCCGTTGTTCCCGATTTTCATAAGCGAATTTTGTTTAGCGATGAACCGCACTTCTGGTTGAATGGCTACGTCAACAAACAAAACTGCCGCATTTGGAGTGAAGCTAATCCACAAGTGTATGTCGAAACACCGTTACATCCAGAAAAACTGACTGTTTGGTGCGCTTTATGGGCTGGTGGAATCCTTCTTCAAAAACGATGAAGGCCACAACGTTACAGTCAATGGTGATCGGTATAGAGCCATCATTACTAACTTGTTCATTCCTGAATTGAACAACCATGATGTCCAGGAGCTGTGATTCCAACAAGACGGCGCAACATGTCACACAGCTCGTGCCATAATCGATTTATTGAAAGACACGTTTGGTGACCGCCTAATTTCACGTTTTGGACCTGTGAATTGGCCTCCAAGATCTTGTGATTTAACACCGCTAGACTATTTTCTGTGGGGCTATGTAAAGTCATTGGTCTATGCGGATAAGCCACAAACGCTTGACCATTTGGAAGACAACATTCACCGTGTTATTCCCGATATACGTCCACAAATGTTGGAAAAAGTCATCGAAAATTGGACGTCCAGATTGGACTACATCCGAGCCAGCCGTCGCAGTCATATGCCAGAAATCATATATAAAATGTAATTCCACAAGATTATCTTTTGAATAAAAGAAAATTCATGTCAATCGAATAATACATCGTTGTTGTATTGCAATTTAAAGCTCTATACCTCTAAAAAAACACCCTTTATATATAAACGTCTTGTTCAAATTTTCAATCGCGCGTTAAAAAATATTTTTTATTCACCTACTCAAGCTCAAATACATTCTTTTAAACTTATAGTGGATGACAATTGATGTTAATACAGTTTTTTCAAATATTAATTCCTTAGTTCTATTGAACTAATGAATAAATAGTAACAAAAATAATAGTCGAACACCATATAGGAAAAGAAAAATCCCTCGTAGTGTCCCTGTAGTGCAACGGATAGTGTTCTGGACTTCTAATCCAAAGGTCGTGGGTTCGAATCCCACCTGGGATGGCATAATTTCTGAGAACGTGATTTCTTTTTGCTATACTATTTTATTGGAATATTTAAATTTAATTGATGAATAAATAGTAACAAACAAAAAAATAATAGTCCAATATCATATATAGAAAGGAAAATGGAAAAATGCGGAGGAAAATCGTTTTCTATTTTTGCCACTTAATATTGTGATTCTGTCATATGTATATAGGTATTTATATTAATTGTAGTTACTTAATGAAAAGTAACAAAAATAAAATTTTTATTTGTTGTGAATTGACATACTTTTTTTATATTACTTGTTCAGATTACTATTATCTATGTTTTTGTATTAAACTTTTAGTTCTATTGAAAAATATTTAGAAAACTCTCGCCTTACGATTTAAAAAGATTACAACCCGACTTTATAAAACATAAGCATATTTAACATGTACGCCCCTGTAAACTCCCTCGTAATTGATTTTCTCAAACACCATTCTCAGAGGTTTTCTTCCTCAAAAAAGAAACATGCTTGCCAAATTCCAAGTCTGTGTGTGTAATAGCTCAAAAACAGATTTTTTCAAAAATCTATAACACTCCTCAAAACCCTGCAAATCCCTTTGAGAGTCTATTTCTACAAAACATAGTCTTAGTAATTTCTACTCAACAGAAGAGGTCTAATAATTCACAAACGTGAATTTTTCCCCACAACCCCTTTTTTCTGCAAAACACGTTCATACTGGATCTCTACTCAACGAAAGAAACGTGTTTTCCAAGTTTATAGGTCTAATATAATTAAAAACGGAAAATTTTTATCTATACCCCCCTCTTGATTATAAATTTCCGCAAAATTCCTTCTTAATGAATCTACTCAAAAACTACTCATGTTTGCCAAATTTTGAGTTTGTGGGTAAAATGCTTGAAAAACGGGACCTTGAGAGTAGATTTTTGTAAAATCCGTTCTTGCCGGACCTCCTCTAATCAACAAGAATAGGGCTGCCAAAGTTCACGAATGCAAGGCCGGAGATCTCGTGATGAGTTGCTTTTCTCCTATATAAAAGTTTACACATCACTGCTTCTTGAAATATTTCGAGCTTAGTTTGAAATTATTCATAGATTAAATGTTTCTTCCTGCGCAAGATGTTTAGAAATTTCAAATTTAGCATACAGAATATGCAATCAAAAAAACTTTAATAATAATAATAAAAAATTGCAACATTTTTAATGAAAATTAAAATAATTTATGACTTTTCATTTGTAAAAGCTTAAGCTTATTCTGAAATAGGAAGTAGAACACGAACTATCCACATGCTGCTATCCGTTTCTAATAAGAGAAATTTAAGACAAAAAGTGGCTGAAAATCGTTCATTGAAAAATTGTGTGGCTTTGAAATTTTTCATTCTAATACAAAAACGTTGATTTATTAAGTTGATTTGGATTTGTATAATAATTTTGCATTGGATTTCCTTCGCATTGTGAAGCAAAACAATTGTGCCGAAACTTTCTTCTTGGGTTCCCCGCATTCGTCCACGACTCAACAAGGCCGACAAAAACAAATTCAAAAGCCCAATTGGCAGGATTCATCAACATCAATCTCCGTCACAATTGGACGAAATCAAACGAGCTTCTATGCAACATTAAACATGCATCCAATCAGAAACACACTTTTCTTCTATTATTAAAAATCTGTGTTCCTTCCCAATACAATTGGTTAAGAGCTCTGAAATGTCAACATTTGTAAGGCATTCATTGAGAAAAACATTCATTTAGGATATCCAGTATTATGGGTTTAGATAAGTATTACCGTTTATAATTTGCGGGTCATTTATTTCCGATGTCTGCTGGAGCCAGTTGGTAACTATTTTAGCAACCCTCAGTCACTTTTCCTGGATCCTTGCGTCAGTTCAAGCACCCACACCAAACCATTTGAACTCAGTTGAAAAGGGAAATATGTAGAATAAATTCTGAAAGCAATTTCACGTGCATTCGAGAGAGAGAGAAATAAACATTTCAACTACAAATTGTAGTTTAAATGTTAATATGAAAAATATATGTGTTAATATGAACAAGATCCCTGCTCCTCGGTTTACGCAGGAACATTCCCAATGATTGCTGATGTGATCTGCGTAAAAAATAGTTTTCTCTACGCGCCAATAGTACATTTAGGATCCGATGTATACTGCAAATAGTGATAGGTGTCCCTCTACGGGCCATTTTAATTCCCTGGAGTTTTAAGTAAATATCACATCTAAACAGTTTTTATTGCTTTCTATTTATATTTTAGCATTATATTTAGGGTGAGGAAGATAATATGACCTTTTTGTTCGTATGAAATGTGTAGTAATTTTTTATCTTAAAAGAAGGTATTAGCTTTCCATTCAGATTCATGTAAAGCAATCTTAAAATGTGTGCGCCATAAAAATCAACCAGTTCTAATGCTTGATTTATCACAATTATAGTTACATTTTCTATATACACTGCTGGACAATTGCGGATAACACTATCATCCACAGCAACCACAAAATGAAAGGAAGTAAAATGTGGAAAATTAGAATAAGTGCGGGATATTAGTAAGAAGTATGAGTATGCAAATTTTTTTTCCACGTCTGATCATCACGTGATAGCGTTCATAAGAGCTTTAAACGTTTTGACACGTGTGGACAGTTGTTGTTTCAAGTCAAAGTTTTACAGGAAAGATTTAATAGACGAACTTAAAATTTTTGGCATGTCTTCCCGACATCACATAGATGATTTTATGCGCGGCCGAATTATTGAAAAGATCGAAGAAGGGCGAAAAATAACAGATGTTGCCAGGGAGTTCGACATCGCTCACAGCGCTGTTTCACGGCTGTAGAAGTCATTTAAAACTACTGGAATGTGTAGTAGACGGCACGGGGGAGGTCGTGTTAGAAGTACGACGCCTGCAGAAGACAGATATATCGTCTTATCAACAAAAAGGAACAGGCGCACCACAGCTCAGCAGGTGGCAAATAAGTTTATTGCTGCCTCAGGAAAGCAGATCTCCCGAAAAACTGTTGCCAGACGTTTGAGGGGAGGAGGACTATACGCACGCAGACCTGTTGTGTGTGTCCCATTGACCAGACAGCACCGTACTGCCCGTTTGCAATGGTGTCGTGAGCATCACAATCGGACTGAACAGGACTGGGCATGCGTACTATTCTCAGATGAGAGTAGGTTCAGTCTGTCATCGGATTGTAGACGCCAACTGAACTGGCGCGAGAGGGGTACTGCTTATCGTCCAGAAAATATCCAGGAAAAGGACCGATATCCGACATGCAGTATCATGGTGTGGGCCGTCATCATGATCAATGGCCGCACGCGCCTACATGTGGTTGCAAATGGGACTATGACGGGCCAACGATACATTGATGAAGTTCTACTTTCTCATGTTCGTCTTTTCCGTGGTGCTGTCGGTGATAAATTTGTTTTTATGGACGACAACGCAACATGTCATCGAACACTCTCTGCTCAGGATTGTCTAGACAGCGAGGGTATTCAACGTCTCGTATGGCCAGCGCGTTCTCCAGATCTAAACCCCATTGAAAATGTGTGGGATGCTTTGGGGAAGCAAGTTGCTGGTCGAAACTATCCTCCGACAAAAAAGAACACCCTCATCCGTGCAATCACAGAGGAATGGAATAAATTGCCTCAACAGCTGCTGGATAATGTTGTGCAAAGTATGGTACGACGTGTGGAATGTTGCATCACACTCCACGGTGTACAAATCCCGTACTGATACCTTTCTTTAAGGTGCCTGCTGACTTTTAGATGCATTGTTCCATTTCTCCGTACGCAGATCAAATGAACATTTTTTTTCTTTCAGATGTTTCACAGCTTTTTTACTTTCCAGAACAATAAATATTCTTTATTCTAATGTCTGAACAGTGTAGCAACTATATTTTATCCTACTAGGCCTCATGTCTCGATAAATGTTATGCTATATAGCAATTTGTGATCCGTCCTTAGCAATTGTCCAGCAGTGTACTTGATATAAATATATATATATATACATATATACACTTGATATATATATATATATATATAAATATATACACTTGATATATATATATATATACATACATACACTTGATATGTATATATATATATACATTTTATATATATATATATATATATATATATATATATATATATACATATATACACTTGATATATATACATATATATACTTGATATATATACATATATACACTTGATATATATACATATATACACTTGATATATATACATATATACACTTGATATATATACATATATACACTTGATATATATATATATATATATATACTTGATATATATACATATATACACTTGATATATATATATACATATATATATATGTACATTTGATATATATATATACTTGATATATATATATATAAACTTGATATATATATATATATATATAAACTTGATATATATATATATATATATTCGATATATATATATATATATATATATATATATATATATATATATATATATATATATATAAACTTGATCTATATATACACTTGATATATATATATATATATATATTCGATATATATATATATAAACTTCATCTATATATACATTTGATATATATATATATTCGATAGATATATATATATACTGATATATATATATATATATATATATATATATATATATATATATATATATATAATATATATTATAAATGTGAAAGTTTGTGAGGATCTTTGTGTGTCTTTCATGCAAAAACAACTGAATGGATTTCAATGAAACTTTACAGTAATATAGCTTATATATCAGAATAACACACAGGCTATAATTTATAAAAATTTGTAAAAAGTGTCAAAATATAACGATATTTCTCAAGAAAGTAGGAAAAAACTCTGGCATCTGCAAGCAAATCTGGCTCCCGCTGCAAAAAAAGCCCATGCCAGCAAATATGTATCTTTTGTTTGTGAAAAACTCTTTTTGTTTTGGCTACGCAAGGGGCTCTCTCTCTCTCTCACTTCTAATTAATTCCT